TTTTTTTGTTGATGTATATTACAGGACAATTAGTCAGCATATAAAAAGTGTAATGTCACATGCCATTACTTTAAATTTTAAGATTAATTAAAATTATTGTTGAATTTACACATAAATTATAAATATTGATTACATAGGTGAAAATATATCAAGCAGGCGAATATAATGAACACGAAATACATGAAAATATTAATAAAACACTCATAAGTTTTGATAAATAAAACTTATATTGTAATAGCCTTTAAATACAATTTGACTGGTTTAGAGGCATAATGATTTTAGTGATTTGACTGGTTTATATAGGCGTACTCATATGATAATTAACGTATTAATATAATTTAACTATATTATATATCATATACCTGCCGCAATTACCATTTCCAGGAATAAAACAATAATAATAGCTATGGTTTTCCGAGAATATAGGGCTTACCAATGGTAACCTGTATAATATTCCCGGTAATATAAGACCAACAAAGCCAAATGAAGAACCCATGGATACATCAATATCTATAATCCAAAGCTCTCATACTTGTACTTGTTCTATCAAATTCACGAGATTCGTAGAATAAAATATCTTTGCCCCATCCCCTTCTTATTCGCCAACTCGTTCGCTCTCTCTCTCTCTCTCTCTCTCTCTCTCTTTGCCTCTCTCACACATACATACGCGCGCGCAATGTCACATATTCTAATAATACGGCGGCCATACCAAAACCTTATCAAAATTATAGATTTCAAGGTCGCCTGACTGCATCTTATTGCAGTGAATCGTTTCATCTTCGGCTGCGGATCGGCCGAGGTGACCTTCCTTGGAGTTGGCCCCGCGACGTCGCGAGAGACGCGCACTTCTTTCGTGATGCACGTCAAGCCGACGCTCGCGCGCCTTGGATGATAAATTATCGGACGATGTTTGCACTTTGACAACATCGCGGGGCATAAAAACGCTGACTCATTTAAAGCGGCGCCCGGGATTGCGCCCCCCGTCTATCCATCTCGCTCTTTATCTACCCTCTTTCTCTCGGCTTCGCGAGGATCGGCGCGCGCCCAGCCCCCGCCTATATCTATGCATTTGACTCGTCCTTTTTTCTCTCTCGGTTTTCTCGCGAATGGGGTGCGGCCTCCTTCTCTCTCGCATACGCTCGTGACTATCCTTTCTTCCACGCCAACGACGAGGAGACTCATCCTCCAACCCCTCGGTCTCTTTCTTTCACCTTCCTTTCTTTCTCTCTCTCTCTCTCTCTCTGTCTCTCTGTCTCTCTCTCTCTCTCTCACAGACTCTCTCTACCAACCTACCTATCTCCCCCGCAATCCTTCCGTCTCTATTCCTTTCTTCTTCTATTTTTTCTTTTTCCTTTCGTTCTCACTTTTTCTGTCGACTACCCCGGCAACCCTCCCTCTCACTGGGATTCAGCCCTTCGACTTTTCCTCGCGTCTCCTCCCTTCACTTCTATATAACCTCTAACGCTCGGCTTATAATTGCAATTCTTCCTATAATTTTTATTAAGACTAATTAATTGCAATGGCTTGTATAATTTAGTTCGGTAACTGCACGTTATTCGCTCGGTCGAGAACGTAAACGGCCCAAGATAAATTAGTAGATGCTGCTATTACTACTTGCGGTCGTTTATTCCTACACTTGATAGGAAGAAAATCGGTGTCATTGTGATAAAATATATGTAGAGTCATCGACATTAAACAGAAATTTACGGTTAAATAATTTATTGTATTTGATTCATCTCATTTTATTTTTTGTTGGCCATGATTTTGTTAATTACATTGAAATACGTGAATTTATAAATTTTGCTTAGATGTTTATTTCATTCTCAATTTGATATAAAAATTAATTATTATTCACTTTTACCAATCTCTATAATTTTAAAAAGCCTGAAAACTAATATGTATTGAAGGGTTGGCTTTTACATATAAAAATTGTGGCATAGTTTTACTATATTAACAAAAAAATTATTTCCATAATTATGAAAAGATGATTTAATATGATATTTATAACCAAAGGTATATGAAGATTGGTCATTTATATTTTATAAGATATCGTTATAAGTATATTATCAGAAAAAATATTATTAATCAAAGTAGTTTACAATATTAAACTAGTTTATAACAAACTTAATCATAAAGTTTCTTCCTCTTCCAGTGTTATTTCTCGTGCATTCGCATTTTCGCACAAACAAATAGCTTCGGTATAGTAATAATAATAGCGATATAAGGTAAACGGAATTATGTGTAAAAATTTGATTACTGTAACAGAATTAGTAGAAGAAGAAATATCTGAGACATACGCATGAGCTTTATTTCAGCCAATCAAGTGGAAAATTTTTTCTGAACGTGATCTTAGCTTACAAATTGTTTTAATAGAATAAAGAACAAACAACCGATAACATATTCGAATTACAAAATTCAATGTTTTTTTATCCGTTACATTGTTTTTGTATCTTAAAATTGTAATGTATATTATTGTATACATCAACATCTATTTTATGATAAAATAACGTTTTTTTTTTTTTCAACAAGGTTACCCATTATTAGAATAATTTATTAATATTAAGTAAATAATTTATTAAATACATAAGATATTGAATGCAATATCTTTGAAAATATCAAAGATCTTCAACAGAATAGAAAGTATTTGGTTTAGCTGTTAATAATTGAACGTTAAATACATGAAAAAGTGTAGTGAAAAATGACAAATACACTAAATGCAACAAAAGCGATAGAAATAGCTGAACCAGGCTAGATAAATGAACAACATTCTACAAGAGATATATAAGAAGAAGAAGAAGAAGAATTAACGAGGTATGAAAGTAAAGATTATAAATGAGGAAAGGATGAGTGGGGGTGGGAGATGGTGCGGGAGTGGGACAGGGCGTGATGGGGGAAGGGCAGAGACAATGAGAGGGACTGGGGCAGCGAGATAGAGATAGAGAGCGAGTGAGAGAGTGAAAGAGTCGGAAGGACGGATGAGATAGAGATAGAGACAGAGAGAGAGAGAGAGAGAGAGAGAGAGAGAGAGAGAGAGAGAGAGAGAGAGTGAAAATGAGCGACCAAGTATGAGTGAGAGTCTTGACAGGATGACGCCGATCAATCTCCCGAACGCGGTGTTCGAAACCCGTGGCCGCGCGCTAGAGAACTCATCTAGCTGTCGCTTTTTCCCTCTTATCCCCCCCCCCCTTTCCCCTCTTCCCTCCTCATCATGCTCCTCATCTTTCGTTTTTTCTTCTTTTTCATCACCCCCGCGGGCGGCCATTGGACTGACAGTTGCGCATCGTGTTCAGCCAGACTTTTTGCCCCACGAGCTGCCTACCAACAACTCCGCCGCTTTTTTCGCTTTCCCAATCGCCTGGTGCTCTATCTACGTGCACGCACACTTCCACAATTGTGGAAAATCCATATCGCATTCAAATTAGTCGATCTATGTTTTTTCTCTCGCCTTCCTTCCTTCGTCCGACGCAATAACCTTATGGCTTATCGGGCCGCAGTCGGCTCAGTCGTTCCACTATCACGCAGAAACAACAAAATGGGCCCGCCAGCCATTCATTCACCGTCGTTTCGTGCGCTCGGAGGGTGGGGCTATCGAAATAACGGACGAGAGACGAAGTCTCAGCGACATACTGCGCGAGACGTTTGCATACATTGTACAGGTGAAAGTGAGTCGAGGCGGGCACCATGTGTGAAGGTCGACATGGGCGACGTCGATTCAGTATACGACGACTATCTGAGCTTTAACCATTCGCGACGTGGTATTACTACAAAGTGGTGAGACGACGTTGTAAAGGAACGAAAGAATGCTTGCGTTAGAAAGAAGTGAGAAAATATTCCATTTCAAGCTCGTCTGATTTATCAGCCTATTATGTGCTAGATATTCGGTACGTATAATTTGAATAAAGCTTATTTAGATATCCGTTATTGTTAAAAAAAAAGAAAAACAAAAAGAAAAGGAAAAAATTATACAACTAAAAATTACCTTATATGTTTATCGTCAAAAACTATGAAGTAAGGAAAAATTTTATAATTTATAGAAATATTGGACTGCACGTAACATGCTGCAAGCAAACAGCTTAATAAAATCAACGATTTACTTATTTTATTGGAAATTTTCGTAGAAATAGTTGACAGTTTGAATTAATTATAACAATTATACATACGAGATTGTATATATATATATATATATATATACGCGCGCGCGCGCGTGTAAATTTGGTATCTATATAGGTCGACAATCGTTGAGAGTATTAATTTTGATAAGGTACGAATGATGAATTATTAAGTCTGAGAAAGTTCTAAAGCACTCGAAACTACAAAGGCGATTGAGAAAAGGTAATAAAAATTTCATTTCGCTGTAGCGTCTTATAAAAAAGTGCTTCCTGCGTTGACTTTGTATTGTCTGCCATGGCAGAGACACGTAAGATACAGCCACAGGGTTAGTCAACTTTGGCCAAACAACCCTTGGCAATTAATGGTCGAGAAAATTTACAACATTCCAAGTAGACCGACAAGACTATCTTCACACGATCGGCTGCCAAAGAGAAAAGTAGAAAAGACGGAAAGAACGGAAGCCGAGGCAACAAACAACTTAGGCGTGCGTCCCAATTCTCGACCTCCCCAACATGCAAATCATAAATCCGGGAAACTCTCGTTCGCCCTCGGCAAGCATCTTAATGGTCTAGACGCGCGGGCTGTCCTCGCTCCTTGGGCCCATCGCGCCGGCAATCCCGAGGCGACGGAGGCCGACGCCGGCGGCGCCCTCCACCTGTTGCCATATCCCCGACTCGTCGCTGCGTCGGGGGATCAATCGGCGCCGTCGCATGCGCTTTCAAGAGGGAAGGGGCTAGAATATTCGGCGCGGCAGGTCCCAACGTGTCGGGGCCCTGCAAAAGGGCGGCTCCCTCGAGCGCACTGACCGATATCGACCAAATCGGTGACGGCCCATTGGTCAGGAGCCCCCGGCACCGGCCCTACAAATTGCGGTGGCCAAGGCCTGCGAAATGTCAGTCGAGCAAGGCACGAGCAGTGGTCAGCACCGAGTTGCAAGTTCTCCCGCCAATAGAGCTTACGCTAAATCGCCGCGCCGGCACTCCAGCGAAAATCCTAAGTCCTGCAAGAGAATGACGCTCGTCGAATTCAGCCAGCACGTGGCCGCGGTCAGGCAGCGAAAACTCGACCCGAGGACGGCCTTCGAGGACAATATTTATCCTCTCTCGCCAGCAAGCGTTGACTCGGTAACCTCTACCTCCAGCTGGAACGGTTACACGGACTTTGGACCAGGCGGTCTGCTTCAGCAACATCATCAACCACTTCAGCAGCAACAGCAACAACAACAGCAGCAGCAACAACAACAACAACAACAGCAGCAGCAGCAGCAGCAGCAGCAGCAGCAGCAACAACATCAGCAACAGCAGCAGCAGCAACAACAACACCAACAGCAGTACGTTTGGAGAGTCGAGGAAGAAATTAAGAGGCTCACTTATGAGCATCAACAACAACAACAACAACAACAACAAAATCCAATTGTTATTCAACAACGACAACTACTCAGAGAGTGCGAGGATGAACCACCGCTGAAAAGACAACGCGTTGCTGTTCCAAGTGTACCGACATCCAGCAATCATGGTGAGTTTTAGATTTGCCATTTGCCTTTACAAATATTTATCGGTATAATGCACTGTTAGTAATTCTGCGCCCCGTACACCCTTAAACTATATTTAAACTCGACAACTGTGAGTCAAATTTCCTGGAAAATTATCACCCTCTCCCCCATCGCAATCGCCATTCCCCTACCCCGTTTAGCCCCCACCGTCGGTTATTATCGCAGGGTACATGAAATAATTAAATACGTCTAATGTTCATACAAAGGATGCGCTCTTGAAAGTAACAGTTCCATGTAAAAATCGGTCGCAATTTTTCCTTCGAACTTGCACCTTCGGCTATCGGCACTTATTTCTCGAAATTTATTTCCGAAATACAATTTATTTTTCAAAGTATATTTTCAAAGCCTCTTAATAAAATAAAGAGAATTTCTTTTCTTTTATCTTTCTCGTGCGTTTTCATTCGTTTATATATTTCTTAATGTTTATTTATTATTATTTCATCTATCCATTAATTTTTCCTGTAATTTTAACACTTACGAAAGATTTTGATGGAAATAGAAAAGGATTTCTTCATTAAATATCTTCGAGGTTTGTTTAACGTTTTTTTAATTAAGTTTGATTAATGATAAGCGTGTCATTTAACCGTCTTCGAACTCGAGATATAAAACATCGTAGCAGCATATCATCGCGGCATCATGTAGGCGATGAACCGTCATGGCGCCGAAATGACATATTTATTAATAATAGAGGGTAATATTAATGGGGCCCGCGGAAATCTTTTGCCATATGTGGATTTTACACGTCCTACCCTTGATTTTAAATATTTAAGGGTAATCGTTTGTAATTTTTCTACATCAATTGCGAGGATAATTCGAAAAGTAAAAAAGTTTAATATTGACATGTCGAAATTGGCCGGAGGATAGGCGCATACAGCCCATTAAGCCTAAAGAAGTCACAGAGATTATCAATTCGTTGATAACGGCCGAAATAAGAGTGAAACGCATCGTTAACTATGACAACATTTTAGAATGACAATTCATTTCGACATGGTATTTCGCAATTATTGGAAAATTTATATTTTTCTTTGTCCGTTAAAATTTCAAGCGTAATTTATACATTCGACTAAATATAGATGAATAGTCGATGCTGCACTCTTTTATTTATATGGAATTTCTGGAATTCTTAAAACTAGAGAGAGAGAGAGCGATTTATATACTAATTAGTTGTCCTCTCCTTGTCTCCTATATTTTTTCTTTTTTCTCTTTTTTCAGTTTTTTTTTCATAAATTTTTTTTTATTTTTATTTAATTACGCAATTTCACTTTGCCGCCAGCTTACTTTTAAGTAATCGTTTTGCTTGTAAATTCAGGGCAAATCGTTTAATCCCATATCAGTAGCGCGGCAGTCGGTGCTTTGAGTCTCGCAGCGGGAACGGAAGCCTCCTCCTGGGATGGCAAGTCCCCCGCTGCGAAATTCTTCGCAAGTTTTGTGTTGCCCAAGTCGACATTAGTCCTCGTCTCGTCACGCACGCTTCTCACCTTATTTTGTCATCGGCCTATCGCCAGCCACCTCTGCGCCTCCGCCTCCTCGTCATACACCGCCCCCCCCCCCAGCCCCTCCGACACACGCTAACACCACCGCCATTCGAATACTCACCTTTGACGCACGAGGCATCGTATTCACGCTAATTGCTTTTAAATGAAACAGTCATTGCTCGCAAGCATCTTATCGACATCGAAATATTTACGCAAAGCTCTTAACAGCCGCGCGTCCTATCTATCTTCAAAACCACGCAATCGTCATTTATCGATTGGGCATAAGATGAGAGATTTTAAAACCGTTTCTCTTCCCTAGCAGTGGCCAATCAGAGAAAGAGCAGCGGCAAACGCTCGCGCACCGCCTACTCCTCGGTACAGCTCGTAGAACTCGAGAAGGAGTTCAACAACTGCCGCTACCTATGCCGACCCAAGCGCATACAGATGGCCGACACCCTCAAGCTCTCGGAGCGTCAGATCAAGATTTGGTTCCAGAATCGGCGCATGAAGTACAAGAAGGAGCAGAACGGACGGGGTCCCAGCGCGAATCACTCCTCCTCCAAATCGCCCGAGCATCAAACGAACCTTGCCTCGCCACTCACTGGCTCCGAAACCTGCGAGCTCCTTCACAGCACCGTCTCGTCGCCTCAGCAACAACAGCAACAACAGCAGCAACCATCTATCGGCACGTGGTCGGTCCAGCAGCGGCTCACATTGCCCGACTATACGGCCGACGCTCAGACCGGCAACGAGACAGTCACGCGCTCCTACGGCAGCTTCTACTTCTCGCAGGACAGTTCGCTGCCGAATCAGCTGCAGTTTCCGGATTGTAGGTAAGAATCCGCAAGATATATCGCATATAGTTTTTTTTTTTTTTTTTTTTTTTTTTTTTTTTTTTTTTTTTTTTTTTTTTTTTTTATAATTTGCTAAAAGTATGTAAACGGGGGGTTCTTTCACTACGCGTCTAACGAAGTTTATAGTATGAGAACCTTAAACGAGCGAAATGGCTTTTACAACATATTGAAGGATTGCAAATGTGCATTCGACATTTTGTCATTTTACTGAAAAATTTTTTTTTTTGTCCCACAGAAACAATTACCAAGAAACTGACAGCGCGTATTACCAATACAAACAGCAGAGCGGCTATATCTCGCAGCCAGTTAAACAAGACGAGGAACTGTACGGCAATCAGCAGTACAGCTGGCAACAGCAGCAGCAACAGCAGCAGCAGCAACAACAGCAGCCGCAATGCCAGTATGCGCTTCAAAATTTAGCCACGCAGTATATAACTTCCACCGCCTTCACAAATCAAACGCCCAGCCAGCAGCAGACGCAACCACAAGCGGCACAACAACAACCTCAGCCACAACAACAACAACCTCAACAACAGCAGCAGCAGCAGCAGCAGCAGCAGCCACAACAACAACAGCAGCAGCAGCAGCAGCAGCAACCACAACAACAACAGCAACAAACCAACTTTGCACTCCAGACAACGTCATCGTGCGCTTACGCATCCAACAATTTGAACGATTCCTTCGGCTTGAGCAGTCTTCTTCCGGATCTCTCAACGTGGCTCGCGGCAAACAACTACGGCAACTCCTCGACCGTCAATCGCTCCATATTTGACGAACAGCACGGCATCGAAGCCTGCACCGACAGTCAAATCGACATCACGAACTTGTAATATCGCGTGCTAGGAGATTCAACTGACTTTACGTGCTGCTGCTCGATAAGCGACAAATGTTATACAAATGTTGCGTCGTGGCATCGCAACTTATTACTTTTAAGGTTAAACGAATTTTTAACAAAGATGATTATCAATTTTATTATTATTACTATTATAATTATTATTGATTATTATTATTGATTATTATTATTATTATTATTATTATTAAGTATTAATTATTGTACGTTGTAATGTAGATAGGCATTTAATTTCATTGTGATAGGACGATTAATGTTCATATAATGTAAATTGTAAATAAAAATAGGGGCGATATTTTGAGCAGGTGCGGGAGAATAGGCGACTACCATTTAAATTTCTATTTTACGTAGGATGTGTTATATTTTGTACCGTATTAAAATATTAATAAATATATTTAAATAAATAGCAGTCTTTTAATTTATTACACATTTCATTGAAGATATGAGAATCTTAGTATATTTAGCCGAGGAGAAGGTTGGAGGACATTTCCTCGACTAAGTTAACACTTTTCATTATACAATTTTCGCGTTATCAAAATCCAAATTGAGCGATAGGTAAGGCAACCTTCTAATAAATGTTCTATAAAACATTATAATAATAGTACCGGAGAGTAATTTCTGAAGAATGCGCGATAAATTTTTATATCCTAAATAAGTAGATACGGTAGTAGTAGTCATCGGTTGCATGCCGATGTACTCGATAAGTTCTGCAAAAATACACAGCGTAACGCGAAAGGTCGACGATACTAATAGAAGCCGTTCTATCTTATCCATCCTGCAATTCGATTTTATGCTTTGACGCATACGATTGAGCCAACCTTTGGAATTTCACTGCACGACATCGCTACCATAATATCCGCATACTGGGATTCATTAGACGGCTTGTACAGTTACGGCAATTTTACCCGGGACTAGTCAGTTTCTCGTGGAGTTTCATCAGATATCGAGAAACTTTCCCATTTTCTCCATAATATTACTAAAATTTTGGCTTGGCACATTTATTGTTCGAGGTGCTTGAAAACAATGCAAGATGATATTGGAAGACACTCGGATTGTCATTTATATGCCAAGTTTGTGCAATGAAAGTATTTAGCATTCCAAAAGTAACCAAATATATCTTATTTACTTTAATAGTAATTTATTATTATAGTACTTTATAATAATTTAATTTATACCGAAGTTTATCAAACAATGGTTATTAAATAAATATCAGTTAAAGTTGAATAACATCAGTTATGAATAATATTAGTTAAAAAAAATTTTAAAACTTATTAGACGTTAGTGAAACATCATCTCGCGCTTTTGAAATTTTAAATCTCCTTTAAAACTATTGGAATACCACTACGCATGGTATAGTATTTATGCGGACGAATAGCTGCTTCTTAAAACTAAAGTATCCGAGAGAATGTAGTAAAAGTCTTACTCCTTGAGAATACATAGTTTCTAATACGACGCAATGCAATGCTCGGATATATTTGTCAGGGTAAAATGAAGGAAGAAGAATGATACGAAAGAAAGCGTACGAGCCTTAGTAAGAAGAGAGTGTATGCGTGAGACAAACAGAAAGCGAGATATATAGCTAGATAGATAGCTAGATAGATAGATAGGTAGATAGAGAGATAGATAGGGATAGATAGATAGATAGATAGAGAGAGATAGAGAGAGAGAGAGATATAGAGAGAGAGAGAGAGAGAGAGAGAGAGATGGAAACATTGAATTCGTAAGAACCAAAAGCGCAAGGGTAGTTGGTAGCTCAAGAAGCGATAAGCGCGTGAGAGAGAGAGAGAGAGAGTGAGTGAGTGAGAGTGAGAATACGGAGAGAAAGAGAATGAGAATAAAGAGGAGTGGGGTGAATTTCAGCCATGATTTCCATTCGCTGGCCATCCATCTTGTTTGAGACTGGAAACTGACAGATAGACGTGGATCCGAGTGCCGGTGACGTAGCAAGTCTTGACGCGTGTATGTAGATATTGTTCGAATTTCTCCGCTTACTTTTCTAAGTTTGTTCCTCTTTATTATTTCATTTATTATTCAACGAATTGCGTTATTATTTATTTGAGTAATAATTTAATTATTAGTTGAATTGCTTGGAACATTTTTTCAATCAATGTCATTTTTATAGCTTCTAATAATTAATTATGATTTTTTTAATATCTGATGTACATTACATCATATTTCATATATTTTATATATAACGGCAAATGTACTTGAAACACTTAATCTTCCTCAATGTATTGTTTGATAATTTATTCTTTTATTACTCTATACTTTAAGCATTAAACGATTGAATAAGAAATTCATCCTCCTCAATTTCAAAAACTTATGATTATAGATGTATTACAATTATTTTTTGTTTTTTCAAAACATGGAATTTCTTTTTTGATATTACAGTTTAAGATATATAAATCATAAACTTTTCATCAAATGCGCGTAATGTTTTTTAAATGACAAATGATTATTTTGAATTTATTTATAGAACACTTTGAAAGTTTTTTTAATAATTTATAACAAAATTACTATCATATATTTCATTTTCAATTTTACAAATGATAAAAATATAATGTATTTATCGACGTTTATCATAAGATTTATATAATTTACCTTAAACATATAATAATTATTTTATATTGAAGAGATATATTGAAATTGTAAAAATTGCATTCTAAAATATTTTGAAATGAAAGAGTTTGAAATCAATATAGAAATGTCCCGAGACTTTTCAATAATTAATAAAATTTTAACATAATTTTATATAAACTATGATGAAACTTTTCTGATTAAACTTACATTAGTTATTCGTATTAGTGTGATCAATAATTTTTTCGAATTTCTTCTATATGTGAAGCCAGGTAATATAAATAATGTAACATTTTTTTATGTATATGTAAAGCATTACATATATGTAAAGCAAATCTTTACTCTACTTAGTATCCAACAATATATACATTCATAATATCGTTGCCTTACAAGTTGTCATTCCTTATTGTTGCTAATGAAACAAATAGTCCTAAATTGCTTAGCAAGCAAATCTTAAAAAAGATCTCGCAGAAGTACGTGGCATTTTAAGATACATATACGAAAACCAAAAAAAGGCAAATAAGTTTAAAAAAAAAAAAAAAAAACGCGTTGAGATTCTTAGCGCGGTTGAGAGGATGAGATTCTTTTTCCGGTTAAAGCGTAGAAAAATTGAAATGGGAAAGGCAAAGAATGAATAAAGATCAGAAAAGAGAGGGCAGAAACATGCGCGCGAGGGTTGGTTGGTTGGTTGGTTGGTTGGCTAGTCGTCGTCATACGAAGAAAGTCAGCTGCTGTGAAAGAACGGCAGATCGAGAGGGAAAGATAAAGCATGTGTGTGGGTACGAGAGAGATAAATACTGAGACTGAGAGAGAGAGAGAGAGAGAGAGAGAGAGAGAGAGAGAGAGAGACGGAATGGGAGCAAACATGAGGAGGAGGCGCGAGCTGCTGCACGCCAGTGATATTAGGTAGAAACGCATGAACTTTGATATATTCGAGTCGCCCCACCTCCCCTCACCCGTCAGGCGCCATACTGCGGCAAGTATCCGAACTATACGTGACCTGTAACTTTCCACTAATACCTATGCCTTTTCTCCGTATATGGCCTACTACGTTCGATTGTAAATGACCCCATTCTCTTTCACCCTTTCGAATTTTCGCACTTTAGAAAGCAAACTAGTGTATCCCTTGCAATTGAAATACGTGTGTGGTCTTAAGTGCGAGATAATATGTTCGAATTAATACTTAATAAAGTGTTATCGGTTGTATAAAAATGGAAATAGACTTTTAAGTTCTATGGCAAATGTATGTGACGTTAACTTTATAATAACATAATACATATGCTATTTTGTATTAATATACTGGCACTGTATTTATAAATACCAATCATAAAAGAAATTATTGATAATTATTCAAACAATCAGATGCAATGTTTAATTAATACGTAAAACATATGCAATATTTACTTATTTTATAGAATTTTCATGCTCTACTCGACGATTTATGAAGTGCTGTAGGAATCTTGATTTTAATTAAATAGTTCGAATAAGTTATATATGATTAAAATAAGTTGATTTTTTTTTTTTAAATAATTAAAACTACATTTCGAACGATATCGAAGTCGTAACTGAAGTAAAATGTTTACGTCTATTTAGTAAATCTTTTATTTCTTTAATGTCTCTCTCTCTCTCTCTCTCTCTCTCTCTCTCTCTCGGCATCAAACAACAACGTCATAATAAAATTTTTCGAAAAATATTTCCATAAAATAATTATCCAATCATAAGAAGACGACAATGTAAATAATACTGAAATAATTAATGGTCGAGCGGTCTACTAAGTGACGCTACTTCTTTATGCATTAAGTGATTTCATGCATGAGCTTAGTAATCGTCGATCGATTGAAATTTGTAAATAAAACGTGGAAAAGTTCAAAAGGGAATTTCTATCTCTAGCTAATGCAACGCAGATAATTATTGTTCCTTTGGACGCGAATGTTTCATCGGTGAGGAAGAAAAAAAAAATGGCAAGAGGAGGAGAACCGCGGAGGAAAAGTACTTAAGCAAGAAGAGCTCGGGAAATCGAGGCAAAGAAGTGGAAACGCGGAAAGTTCGCTGCCACAAAGCAAATGCGTGAGAATTCGCGATGTCGGCGTATGTAGAAGTCGATGAAGGTGAGGGGTGGCGGTAACGAAAGGCGGAAAACAACGAAAAATAAAGCAGCGAAAGAATCGTCGTTCGTTGGAAAAAGAATGAGGGCGCTGTCAGCTGGTGGAAATTATTCTGATTATGCTAATTCCGGTTCTGTTCCACTCCTTTAACCTCCCTCCTCCAATTCATCGCAGTCTCCTGCCTCCTAGCCCATTCGACCTCTCCCCCCTGATGCTCCTGTCTGCGCCATCTTTCATACTCTGATATTTATAATATAGGGGTTGCCGAGCAGTTTCAAACTCTTTTTGGCTCCGTAGC